GTGTCGGCGGCCCGCGCGGGAAGGGTGCCCGCGGCCGCCGCGGCCGCCTGCCGCTTAACAAAGGGATCGATGGTCTGCAGGCAGCGGTAGTAGGGGCTCGAGTAGACGACCTCAACGGCGGGCGTCAGCGTCGCGAGATGCGCCGCGAGCTCGGCGGCCTGCTCGATGCCGTGCGAGGTTAACGGCGGATCGGCTGGAATGCCCGTAGGCGAGGGGATGTGCGACTGGTAGTTGCCCTTGTTGTCGACGGTCCACGTCGTGCGAAACTTGCTGGTGTGAGTCTTGTATGTAAGGGCAAGGCAATGAGGGGCAAAACTCACTCCGTGACGGACAATGTAAATCTTTTCCAGCGACATCGTTGGTGTTGTGAAAGACTCTCTTTGTAACAGGGCTCGGATCTTGTCTAATGTGTTGATCTATTCTTTTGACTGGACAAGAAGGCGCCTCAGTAACGCACCGGTGGTGAATAATGATGAGATGATATAGATCCCGAGGCAAGAGACCACGGCGGCCAAGCTGAGGTGTGTGTGGTACGCCAATGGCCCCACAAGCCGCTGCCAGCAAACAACGGTGGCGGGAGGCATTTAAGAGGCGGTTGATGAGAAGGCATACGGGCGATTGAACATTTCGGCATAGAAAATTAGAAAAGGTAATTTGTGTACTCAATCGAGATGAAAAGGTTCCTATCGCAGCAATGCAGGCCAAAAATGGATTTCGTTGTTGGAATAGCAAACGGCATCTGCACTTGTTACAAATTCCAACTACTTACTCTCAGCTTACAACATATCAAGAAGCCAACAACATTGAAAAATGAATGCATTCAGTAATAAGTATTCAGGCTCGCAGCTCCCTTCACGAGGGGAAAATGACTGAATGCAGTGGCGCGCGTCCAATGCACGCAAGTATCTATATATATATGAAAGAGAGAGGGGGGAAAGTAAAGGAAAACGCCTCCTTGCATCCACCCATCCATCCGTTTTCTACCTACCAAACCCATAAAAGAAACTCCCATACCAACAATCTTGTCCAAAGAAAGAGAGAGAGAGAGAGAGAGAGAGAGAGAGAGAG